GATTCAAATAAATGCGTTTTTCAAGCATAAGAAACGGACCGAATTAAGTTGTACACCCAATATATCTGTACATATAACATAGCCAAGATGGTTTACGTAAACGGAAGAGTGCACATGATATCTAATGAGATAATTTCTCGTAACTGATAAAACATGCTTCCAGATAATTATAAAATCACTCATTACTATAAAACTTTATTACGTGATTTGTAAACAACAGGAAAAGTATACGAACTCTTTTTGAGTGAAAGAGAAGATAAGAAGATACATAAACGCATAACACTTGCACACACACAAGCACACACACTCACTTGGGTGGACGTGACCTCACAACAAACGATGGTGATTCAAATCACGCCTCAGAATCACAGACAAATTATTTTGACATCTTCTTTCGTCGGCTCTTTCAAAGCTGAGCAGCACACAGAGGAAATAAGGTACTAAATTAAAGTTAACAGACCGCTAACCGAATACTTTTTCAGTTCCTACAGAAGTTCATATCTAAGACAATGCGAAAACGACCTATACCGAGAGAAATGATAATAGTTACATGAAGATTTAGAGAATATGACTACCACAATATAATTTTGATAAGGGTAATTTCGAGCAGACAAGTTTTGTTTGGCCAAATGAAAAAAAGATATAGATGAAGAAGAATAGCACAAACGAGAGGCGTTCCCAACTAAATGAGGGAACTATGCATGCAAATAAAAGAGCACACTCAAGAAGAACATAACCAACGTCGTCATTTTCTTTCAGAGAGAAAAGAATAAGAAGAAAAAAATCACCGAATATATTCCATCACAACAAGAGATGCAGAACAGGAAAAAAAAGAAAAGAAGTTTACTCGTGGACAAGAATTAGAGAAAAAAATGTACAAGGACAATGAAGCAAATCTCGTCTACGAGAGTGTACATCTGGAACGGGAAGAACTAACAAATGTTCCAGAAACACAAATATATGAGATACTTCTGGGATATAAAACCATTCAACCATCTGTATATTTGGAGATTGAGTTCTTCCGTTAACGGCATATTTCGACTACGAAGAATGATATAGAATCGAGATATTCTGAAATTATAGGTGTGATACAGTAAAACATTCTGAAAGATATAAAGACTCAAAAGAAAGACTTAAATGATTGCAAAGCTTGCTTTATCAACACTTCACAAGCAGCCCCGAGCTCCCAAAATTACAGCGCCGAACATTGGCGTAAGTGAACAAAAAATGTTCATCTCGCTTAGAAAACAATTTTCTGTAACTATTGCATACTTTCTATATTATAAGAGATAAATAAGGAGTGGTTAAGCTTTTGAAAAATGAGGAAAAAATTTGAAAATTGCGCTTCAGGAAGTAGACCAAAACGATAATCGCACTTTTTCAACTTCGCTTTTTCCTTGGCCTCCTTTTTTCGGTCAGTAGAAGATCTGCCGTAAAGCAGATTTATACTTTACTTAGCGCACTTTTGATCTAAGCTCTATGCTCTCTAGAAGAGGAACTAATGTAAGTTCCACGATTTGAATAAGTATACAAATTAGTAGGAGCATTTTGACAAAAAGTATGTGTTGTTTCGATTTTCGAAAAAAAACGAAGATGAGATTTTGCCATAGGCCCAACCACTTACTTCAGATCCTATTCTCTAGTGGCTCATTAAAGTACCACCTCTCATCGGAACCCAACGAGAAATATCGCGTCTTCCAGCGTTCACCAGTCTCCAAGCGTTGCTTAGCTTCAGCCCTTTGACGTTGTTCGATCATTCGTTTTGCTGTTGTCGCAATATTGATGCGATTTCTCAGAAGTGCAGCAGTGACATGTCGCCACAACCTAAATAACCCTACCACTATTACAAAATAACAACTTAAAAAGGCGCAAAGGTGCCCACCGCCGGCTTTCACGTTCGCCCTGCTGCATCACTGGTGTGCATTCCTTTTTCATCTCTGGGTCTGCTCGTACATCGATAAATAGGTATTCTTCTCCATTCGCTGGTTTAGCCATCATTATATTGTTCCATTCCCCACGTATAGTCATAAACGGCTTTTTAACGCCTTCCCTAAACAAAAAGAAGCATCTGTTTAGAAAGAATCGAAGATCAATCTATTTCAGTCTAAAAGGACTATAAGAAATTACGCACAGTTTGTTTGTTGAGTACTTTTTTCAAAAATTTTCATGATAATTTGTCAAAGTGGATCATAAACAAAATGAAGTTTAAAGAAGTACTGTGAATCAACGACTAAGAAGTGACCCACCTGTACAAACTTCCCTGAATTCTATGTGGTTTACCGCCAAAGAATGGTTTTGTCAAGAAATCTATATCCGCATAGTAGCCCGTTTTTTCACAGGTGATTTTCACCTAAAAAGGCTAACATTGCAGCCATTACTTGAAATTATTAATTTGAAAATCTTACCTTCCCACCCAACTCCACCCACGGAGTGCTCATGATGGAACGCCCGTATCCACTTGGAAACGTCACTGTATAGTGTTCATCATAATCATGTAAGATCACTGTACCACAACCAATATTTGCGACACCTGTTTGTAAGAGAAGGTGATATAAGAAATCTATCTTGAATTAGAAGAACCTTAGTCCACGCACCAATCGATAGCCCCAGAAAGGAAGATTTTGTATAGATATGAGCATGGAATGATATATGTTTCGAGGGATGTTCAGCGTAGAACGCAGACACTGGAGGATGGTGACTGACCTATACGCAATAAAATGTTTCTTAGAAAAACATCAAAATATCAAAAAAAAATCCTAGATAAATGTTGAAAAATGACTAC